TTTGGCCAAATTTTGCGACAGCCAGGCGGTTCTTCGGCCAGAATTGTAATTCTTATTACTAAGTTGGGCGCCAGGCACGAGAGAGCGTGCCACTCTTTTCGAAATCTCCTCACTTTTGCCCGTAACGTTTTCGCGACGGCAGGGGGTGGGTCACAAGAGGTGTGGGAAATTTGTCGGAGGGCGAGAGAGATAGGCCACAAGAATAAACTACGCGAGAGCGTAATAATAAGAACAATTATATTTGAGAAAATAGGATAAAGTAGAATTAATTACATGGATTACGCAATTACAAGTTCCTTTCGGAGCTTCGCTCCGCCGCTCTAGTCGGCACATTATATATTGATTCCATAACAATATGACAGAAATTCACCTTTCTAATGTTAATTATATTTTGTATTACAGTTCAATAATAAAACTACATATGTACAAATGAATAATTTTATTTCATTAAATGGAGTAACAGTTTGGTAAGATTTCGTGCGAGACATTCGAAGCATTTGTATTTGACACCAACTAATTATCCATAACATCGCAGAAATGTATTTTTAGGCTTAAACCTATCACACATGAAATGCATAACAGAGCATAAACATAACATAAGATCGCTGGATCAATGAACATCCAGCGTAAACCCCAAGACACATACAAGAACGTAAGGCCGTAACACGAAAGCAGTAAGTGAATTTACCAATCACAGTAGAGACCGTAAGGCCAATAGCGAATCCAATGTTACGATTTTCTTACTGATCACGTCTTAAGGCCGCGACACAGACTTTTGCATAAAGCATAATGCATGGTGCATAAACGAATCAGAATCTTTCCTTTCCTCCCATTTCATGGAAAAGAAGAATTTCGATTGGTTGATTCTCTTATGCACAATGCGTTATGCGTTATGCAAAAGCTTGTGTCTGGGCTCTTACGGACTTACGGTTTTCTATGTTCTCCCGGCTTAAAGTTGTCATATTGATTTACATAAGATGCTCAACGGCTTTATTCTGTGGTTATGCAGCTTATGTCATTTTATTTGTTTAGGCTCTAAAGCGGGGAGCACAGACTCTTGCATAACACATAACACACGAGGCATAAGAAATTGAACCAACCAGAGTTCTCTATTACATGGAAGGGAAAGAAACGGAGAATTTCGATTGGTA